TGAGAGACACTGTGGTACAGTAGTAGACTTGACTTCAAATTTCAGTCACTTATGAGCTATGTCATCTTGGATAAGTTACTTAGTCTTTTTTTTTTTTTTTTTTTTTTGAGACAGAGTTTTGCTCTTGTTGCCCAAGCTGGAGTGCAATGGCACAATCTCAGCTCATCGCAACCTGGTTCAAGCAATTCTCCTGCCTCAGCCTTCCCAAGTAGCTGGGATTACAGGCATGCACCACCATGCCAGGATTCCTCCATTTTGGTCAGGCTGGTCTTAAACACCCGACCTCAAGTGATCCACCTGCCTCGGCTACCCAAAGTGCTAGGATTACAGGCATGAGCCACCTCGCCCTCGCCTGGCTACTTAATCTTCCTGTAATCTTTTGTAATCTGTAAAATGCAAATGCTATCTATCATATAGGATGATTGTCAGGATTAGAGATAATCTATGAAACATTACTGACATGTATTAGGCACTCAATAAATAGCACCTATTTTCATTATTTTTATGGAAAGAGTGGTAGATTTCACAAAGTAGAATAAAAAATTAGACATGATCCCAAGTCTGAGACTCTTAAAGAGGTAGGCAACTTTCAAAAAATTTATCAGAATGCAAATAAGTAGGGCATACATGGGGGAAAAATTTATCAGAAAAATAGATTTACTTGACCCATAGCATTGCCCATATTGTGGTGCTAAGTACACATTTGGCACAACTTACCTCTTTCTTCTTAGCCTTCCTTTGCTTACCTCTATAACTGCAAGTGATTCTAATGATAAAGAAAAGAAAAGGTATGGGAGGAAAGTATTAGTGATATAAAGAAGTGCTCTGAGGCCAGGTGCAGTGGCTCACACCTGTAATCCCAGCACTTTGGGAGGCCAGGTGGGCAGATCACCTGAGGTCGAGAGTTTGAGACCAGTCTGACCAACACCGTGAAACTTCGTCTCTACTTAAAATACAAAATTAGCCGGGCATGGTGGCGCATGCCTGTAATCCCAGCTACTCGGTAGGCTGAGGCAGGAGAATTGCTTGAACTCAGGAGGCAGAGGTTGTGGTGAGCTGAGATTGCACCATTGTACTCCAGCCTGCGCAACAAGAGTGAGACTCCATCTCAAAAAAAAAAAAGAAGTTATCTGATTACCTAAAATTGTAAAAGGTTGAGAAACAAATATAACACCCACCTCTCCAGGTTTTGAGAGTTCAGCTCAGTTGCTGTACTAAGTACTTTATACAGATTATATTCTTCAATTCTTTTAGTCTGGGGCCTACAAATTATTAGAAGATGACAGCTGTGTGGACATTTGTCATTTTCCTGGTTGCCCAGCCTCCATGTTACCATTATGCATTTGGGAAACAGGACATTGTGTAAAGCAGGGCCCTGGATCTCATTAATGGAAGCCAAAAGGCCTTGATATCAGTTTTCTCTGATTATAATTCTGGAAAAAAGAGTGAAGAGCAGCAGGCAATGTATAAAGTTTATTCAGTAAATTTTAGTGAATTTCAGTGGTGGTGGCATTCAGTATCTGGTGACAGTAATGGCAGGTAGGTCATCTATGGTATCCAGTCCCCAGGGCCAGAACCTGAATGGCAGGGCCAGTGGCATTGCCAGTGTCCAGCAGAAGCATCCTTCCTCTGGTGTGGTCTCCTCTGTGGATATGGCCACCTGGCCTCCCATGGTGCCTGTCTATATTCCTAGCCCAGTTCTCTATCCTTTCTACTGATTCTTTGAGCTCCCCAATACTCTTTCAAGAAATTCCTTTTCTTCTTTGGTTGACCAGAATCAGCTTTTGTTGCCTGCAACCAAGGACTCTGGCTAGCACATAGTCTTTAGGTAATGTGCAGCCTGAAAGAGTCCAATCTGCTTATTTTAGTAAAGATCTCTTAATAAAGTCATGCTTAAATTTGCAACTGGTCTGGGAGTTCTGTCTGGGCTCCCTTTAAGGCCCATACACCTCAGGCAAAAGAAGAAATACCGGGGAAAGGAGCTGTTGTCTCTTGACTCTCAAGTGTCTGCTGCCCCAACCTAATCCACCTTTCTTTGCCTCCTACAACTTTTTCACACTCACTCTTCCACGCATTCAACAAACATTTATTCAGCACTTACTATACACAAGGCATTATGCCAGGCAATAAGAGGAATCCAAAGATCAATAAGCTAACCCTGACAGTATACTTTTTAATTCTTAACCGGCAAATATAATTTTTTTGAAATAGATAAAATTTAAAAATGGGTCATTCTGTTGAAGGTAGAAGTGAAAGGGAACCCTTTTATCTTTGGGTTAGTGTCACTGGATGTAAGGTGAGATCCATTTTTTTGTAAAAGTTCTAGAAATCAAATGAATTCCTTTGATAGAGGTTTCCAGTCAAAAGCAAATAGCTCTTTAAAGATTGAAAAGATAGTGCCTCTTCTAAAGTCAACAAGTAGATTGCTGCTTATCAAAATCCATGTGACTAGGATGAGAGACAGTGGAATTACTGCTTACGCATTAGAAATTTCACTCAAAATAAACTGACTCCTAAAACAGAATCAAGGAAACATCAGTTTCTGTTTTCTTGAGACAGAGTCTTGTTCTGTCGCCAGGTGCCAGGCTGGAGTGCAGTGGTGCAATCTCAGCTCACTGCAACCTCTGTTAATTTTTGTATTTTTAGTAGAGATGGGGTTTCACCATGTTCGCCAGGATGGTCTCCATCTTTCGACCTCGTTATTCGCCCGTCTTGGCCTCCTAAAGTGTTGGGATTACAGGTGAGAGCCACCGTGCCCAGCCGAAATATCAGTTTCTTTTTTCTTTTTTTTTCCTCTTTTCTCCTAGGCCTATAACTAGATGAAACATCAGTTTCAAATGAAAAATATCCAGCTTATTTTGTTCTCCTTAAATTGCCAAATAAATACTTGGTATCCTATAATACAGCAATTGCCGCAGGGACTGTTGACACATCTAAAACCACAGAATACTCAACACAAGCAAGGAAGATGGGCACACATCAGAAGCACAAAATATTCCATCACATACTTCTGGAAAACAAAGTGTAAAGTAAAATTGTAAAGCAGATGATCTCACACACTCAGAAAAAACTGGACAGGCGCATACACACTTTACAGGAGCATGAGCTGAGGTGTTGAGCACTTACAAGACCCTCATCTGGAAACAGTCAGGAAGTCTGATCTAGGAATCAGACTCAGCCTTGGGGTCAGCGCTTCACTTCCCAGTTGACTTCAGACAAGCCACTTAGCCACTCTAGGACTCAGTTTCCTCAATTTCTTTCTTTTCATTGAGACTGAATTTTGCTCTTGTTGCCCAGGCTGGAATGCAATGGTGCAATCTCAGCTCACTGTAACCTCTGCCTCCTGGATTCAAGCGATTCTCCTGCCTCAGCCTCCAGAGTAGCTGGGCTTACAGACATGCGCCACCATGCTCGGCTTGACTAATTTTGTATTTTTAGTAGAGACGGGGTTTCACCATGTTGGTCAGGCTGGACTCGAACTCCTGACCTCAGGTGAACCACCTACCTCAGTCTCTCAAAGTGCTGGGATTACAGGCATGAGCCACTGCACCCAGCCAGGACTCAGTTTCTTTAACAGTAAGTTAGAACAGACAAAATATCAGAATTGAAGGGAAACTTAGAGATCACCTCAATCAATTTTCAACTTGTACCTGACTTTTCTTTGAAGTATCTGTAATATGCTTCTCTGCTTGAACACTTTCTCTCCAGGCAACTGATATTATTATTATTATTATTATTGGGACAGAATCTCACTCTGTCGCCCAGGCTAGAGTGCAGTGGCATGATCTCAGCTCACTGAAACCTCTGCCTCCCGGGTTTAAGCGATTCTCCTGCCTCAGCCTCCTGCGTAGCTGGGATTATAGGCTCCTGCCACCATGCCCGGCTAATTTTTGTATTTTTAGTAGAGACAGGGTTTCACCATGTTGGTCAGGCTGGTGTCAAACTCCTGACCTTGTGATCCACCCGCCTTGGACTCCCAAAGTGCTGGGATTATAGGCATGAGCCACCGCATCCAGCTAGGACAACTTTCTGAAAAGTCCTCAAATTGCTTTTTTCTTCTGCACAGTAAACCACTCCTCTCCCCTTCAGCTGTCCTCATCTGGCACATTCAAGAGAAGAAACTATTCTGGTTTTCATGTTTTTATGGGTGTAGAGTGGTGGTTAAGCACCCTGAATGCTCAGATGGTCTGAATTTGAATACTGGCCCTGTCATTTAGTAGTTGTGTGACCATAGACATGTTATTTTCACCTCTGTAGCTTGAGTTTCTCTCTCTTGAAAATGAGGATAATAATAATGATATCTATTTCTTAGAGAAATTGTGAATGAGATAATTGAGACAGTATAAGCAAAACATTTAGCGTAGTGCCTGGCCCTTAGTAAGTAATAGGGTTACTACCAGTAGTAATAATAAGCCCTAAATTAAGCCCTAAAAATGAAAATAAGAATAAAGGAACTGGCAGATAAGAAAAGCTAATCTGGTCCATTTCAGGAGCTACAAACAAGGTTTGGTTGCCCTGATAGGAAACTTTCCATGCGTTTCATAGCAATTATAACTTTTACTGGTGGATTTCATGTCTAGGACAGGAGCTCAAGAAGGCCAGGACCTTGTCTATCGTGTTAATTGTTGAGTTCTCAGTACCGAGCAGAGTGTCTTGCTCCCAATGGAGTGAAAGAATGGACCAACGCCGTTTTGTCAGGGAAGAGACTGCCGATTTGGCTAAGGTTGCGCAGGGCTCCCAGGAGAGCTGGGACAAGAACTAAGGGCTTCTCGGCAGCCAACACTCAGAATTAAATCGAGGCCCAACCCTAAAGTTTGGTAATTCAGATAGGAACATAAGTATCCAGTGATACCGGGGTCAGCATTCCCACCGCATGGCCTAAGTGCCGGCTCCTGTTTTCGGGGTGACGAGCCCGGGGAGAAGGTGGCTTAATGAGAGGCCGCGAGAGGGTGGGTGCCAGCACTTCGCTAAACCCCGCCCGCAATGCTTCGGGTTGGCTGCCAGCCAGGGCAAGGCTCCAAGCCGGCCGGGGCTGACTCCGGGACCAGCGAACAGAAAACAACCTGGCTCCAGAGACAATTAACAAAGGCTGGAGACCAGCCACCCCTCGCGGCGCACGCACGCGCGCAAACAGCAGCGTGGGCACAGCCGCGCCCGCCCTTGCCCTCGGTGGGCACAGCCGCCCGGAGCGGCGCGGGTGCGGGGAGGGTGGCGACCGGCTCCGTGCTTGAGCGCCCGCAGGCACCTTGCGCGCGCGGGTGAGTCCGCCTGGCGATTGGGGCCTGGTCAGGCAGGATGGGGCCTGGGAGGGGTGCAGGAAACAGCTGCTGGGAGGATCAGAAAAGGTAGGTGGAAAACAGAAAGGCAGGATGCGGCGACCTCCCAACTTGCTTGGTAGCTAGCTTTGTGTCTTTAGCCTTATGGGAATGTAAGCTACCTGATCCATGTGGCCTGACCTAGTCGTTTTCCAGGTGGGAAACTGAGGCCCAGGTAGGTAAGCTGGCTTGGAAAAAAATTATTATTCCCTTTTATTTTTATTTTTTATTTTTAAAAATTTCTTTCCAAGGCAGCGCTGAAGGAAAAACATTATTATTCTCGATTCCTGTTTCTGTCTGCCTTCTTCCGTGTAGGATTTGAGACAGCTGTTAGTAAGAATCCATACATTATAACAATGGAAAAATACAAACAATGGTAAAGAATCCTTGCCAAGAAAAATATAATTACGAATAGACAGTCAAGGCCGGGAAAAAAGAGAACAGAAATCCGTGATCCGTAGGTGAGGTGACTTGGCTAAGGGCCCTCAGAAAAGTGGTGCCAAAGCTGCGACTAGAAGTCAGAACAGCGGGCTCCTGAACGCTGGAAACTTACAGGGGGGAGTGGGGAAGCAGACAGCCTGCCAAGGCACTGGTTCTTTTTTCTTTTCTTTTCTTTCTTTTTTTTTTTTTTTGCTGTTTCTGTAAAAGCACTGGTTCTTAACCTGCTAGGGATCCCTGACCCCTTAGAGATCTGTGTCCACTCGCTGTGGAAGGGTTCACACAAAGCCTTGCGCGCAGTTTGAGATTTGACACGAATTCCTGCTGCAAGGAATGCCTGCAGGCGGGGCACTCGGGCAGCTTGGTTTCAGAGCACTTTCTTTGGTTTTTTGAAGGGAGGCAGCTGATGGAGGAGTACCTGCTGTGCATCCAGACAGCTAGCTGTGTGATCCAGGAAGCATAATTTAACTTCTTCAAGGCCCAGTTTTGTGTGTAGACTGGAGATAAGAGTGTCTGTTTCATCCTCCAGGTTGTTGTCAGACTTAAGAATGAGCGTAAAGGCCAGTGCCTGACATAAAAGATGCTCAATAAAAGTGCTGATGATTGTAGGGTGACTATAGTTTACAATAATCTATTGTATATTTCGAAATAGCTAGAAGAGAATAATTTGAATGGTTCTAGCATAAAGAAAAGACAAATATTTAAAGTGATAGCTACCCCAGGTAAACGGATTTGATCTTTATAAATATATTACATTATCACATGTACCCTGAAACTGTGTACATCTATTATGCATTAATTTAAAAAAGTGATGACACACAAAACCCAGTGAATCAAAGCTGTGCTAATTAGGAAAGGGGGATGACTTGGGAGAAATTGGGCTGTATCTGAAATAAAACACAATTTAAAAAATTATAAACATGAAAAAATAAAGTCAGCCCTATTATGATTTACAAACCACACCACATACGTTTGTGATAGTGTCCTAAATAAGGGTGCAGCAAGGCACTACCCTCGATATTTGACTCCAAGTCAAAAGCTGAAAGTAGAAACTACCAGATACTGTAACAAGGACCGTTTATTGGCTTTCACTTGCCTCTCTCAAACAGAGTCAGCACCTATAGAGTTTGTTTTTAAATGAGAGGAAAGAGGACATAAACTGGGACCTGGGCAGCACCCACTCTTGCCCAGCAATAGAGCTTCAGCTGAATATCTGCCAGGGAACAGGAATTGCTGGCAGTTGGCTTACATCCCTCTTGGATCAGCAGATTACTGTGGTAAACAGTGACTTGGCTGATTCTGCCCTAGATCAAATAAATGGCTTTTTATTTAACTAATGAAGCAGGGAGTGTGTTTTCATGTGCTATAACAGAAGCAAAATGGCATTTGTAGAGCTTGACTGTCCAAAGCTTATTGATTGTTTATTGATGGGCTTAAGAATTTATTTATTTGTTTGTTTATTTAGAAACAGGGTCTTGTTGCTCTGCTGCCCAGGCTGAGTGCAGTGGTGAAATCAACCACTCAGGTTTAAGCAATCCTCCTGCCTCAGCCTTCTGAGTAGCTGGGGTTACAGGCATACGCCACCACACCTGGCTATTTTTTTTTAACTTTTTGTAGAGACAGGGTCTTGCTATTTTGCCCAGGCTGGTCATGAACTCCTGGATGCCAGTGATCCTCCCACCTCAGCCTGCCAATGTGCTGGGGTTACAGGCATGAGCCACTGTGCCCAGTGGATTTTATAATTCTAATTATTGTTATTATTTTCTTAATTCCCTAGTTCCAGAAAGCTTAAGAACTTTAAATCTATGGATCCAAACATGAGAGGACAGAGCCTGGGCAGGCCCACTCATCTATACAAATAACTGCTTTTAAATAAAATACTGTGTAGGGCCAGGTTTGGTGGCTCACACCTGTAATCCCAGCCACTTCGGGAGGCTGAGGCAGGTGGATCATGAGGTCAGGAGTTCAAGACCAGCCTGGCCAACATGGTGAAACCCCTTCTCTACTAAAAATACAAAAGTTAGCCAGGCATGGTGGCGTGCACCTGTAGTCCCAGCTATTCAGGAGGCTGAGGTGGGAGAATTGCTTGAGAATCCAGGAGGCAAAGGTTGCAGTAAGCCGAGATCATGCCACTGCACTGCAGACTGGACGACAGAGCACGATTCTGTCTCAAAAACAAAAAAAACAAATAAACAAACAAAAATACTGTGTTGTCTCCTTCCAAATAGAGCTGGGGAAATATGGCTAAGGGCAGATAGCTGGTATGTGATTTGGGTTAAGGCACATATCACCTGTCTGGTGGGTTACATTCCTTTCCATGTATTTATAAAAGGGAGTTTTTCCTCCAGAAAAGAGAGGCAGAATGTGTATGTCTGTGTGTATGGGGCGAGGGGATGTCCATTGCTGTCTTTCCACCTCCTTTCTAATCATTTATTTCTCAACCCAGAGAAGTCCTTTTCTGTAAGCATGTGACTTGGAAAATTCCTTCCTTTCTTGGTTCTGTGGCTCTATTTTGTTTCACAGTAGTTTCTAAAATATTAGAATTTTTTTTTGTAATTTGACTATGAACTCTTCATATGTTTCTATTTTTCTTTTTTCTTTTGAGATGGAGCCTCCACTCACTGCAACTTCCGCCTCCCAGATTCAAGCAATTCTCCTGCCTCAGCCTCCCAAACTGGGACTACAGTCATGCACCAACATGTCTGGCTCTTTTATTTTTATTTTTAGTAGAGATGGGGTTCTGTCATGTTGGCCAGGCTGGTCTCAAAACTCCTGACCTCAGGTGATTCGTCTGCCTCGGCCTCCCAAATTGCTGGGATTACAGATGTGATCCACGAAGCCCAGCCCAGTTTTATCTTTTTGAAAGACCACTCCACTCTGATGTTGTGGATCCAGTCAGGAAGCTGGTGTACCAGTCCGGGAGAAAGATGGTGGAGGTTTAGACCCAGAAGGTCTTAGAGATGGAAAGTACAAATTAATGGATATCTTTAATAAAACAAAACAGAGCCCAAAGGTGGACACTGATCAATACTCTTTGAAATTAGTAGTTTTATCAGTTTGTAGTCCCTATTCATGTCCTATCACTGCTCTCTATGCCAGCCTCCACCACTGCCTGTTATTCCATGTGTAAGTACGTCACAAGAGACTGACAACAGCTTCCTGGTTGAGATACACTGGACTACAGTATTCCTTTGATTTACTGATCTAGTTGACAGTCAGTAAAATCTGGCATGACCTTTTGTTTTTTTGAGACGGAGTCTCTCTCTGTCGTCCAGGCTGGAGTGCAATTGCATGATCTTGGCTCACTGAAACCTCTGCCTCCTCAGTTCAAGAGATTCTCCTACCTCAGCCTCCTGAGTAGCTGGCATTACAGGCAAGCACCACCACACCTGGTTAATTTTTGTATTTTTAGTAGAAATGTAGTTTCACTATATTGGCTGGGATGGTCTCAAACTCCTGACCTTGTGATCTGCCCGCCTCAGCCTCCCAAAGTGCTGGGATTATAGGTGTTAGCCACTGCGCCCAGCTTGACTGGTTTTTATTAAATTAACCTCTGCTGACTCCAAGTGATCTCTGTTTCCCTTCCTAAGGGGTAACAAACCATTTGTTTTACTCAAGTGACAGAAACCTAGCTCAGAGTGACTTAGATAAAAGGGGGGTGAGGAATAAAAATGTATTTGCTTTCAGCTGGAAATATTGAAGAAAAAAATAATAAAAAATAAAAAGAAAAAAATGTATTTGCTTATGTAAGAAAAAGAATCTGTCTCTGTCATGGTTGAAATGAATCATGCCATCATTTCAGTTTCTCTGTCAGTCTCTCAGTTCTATTTCTATGGTATTAGCCTTATTCTCAGTAAGGCTCTGGTATATAGTTCTTATTATCATGATTAGCTGTTCATGGCACCTGCTCTAATATGATGCATCTAGATCAGGCACATGTCTTTAGGCAACTTCATACATCTGATCGATGGTAATGCTACCCTTTCCAATTTAACAATAATAGAAACAGAAGACCATGGCTACTCTTAGTGAGAGTTTATCATGTACCAGGAACTCTATTAATATTTTACTTGGATTATCTTAAGAAATCTTACAACAATCTTGTGAGAACGGTTACATAAATATCCCAGGAAAGCCAGCTAATGGATTGCAGAATCAGCATTTGAAATCAGGTTGTTCTGGCTCCAGGGTCTGGGCTCCTAACCTTCACCATGCTTCTCACTATCAATCTCTAGAACAAGAAGAGGAAAGCACTGTCACTAAATAGTGTGCTTCTCTCTTACTTTTTCTGAACATTTTTTTTTTTTTTTTTTTGAGACGAAGTTTCGCTTTTATTACCCAGGCTGGAGTGCAATGGCGCGATCAAGGCTCACTGCAACCTCCGCCTACTGGGTTCAGGCAATTCTCCTGCCTCAGCCTCCTGAGTACCTGGGATTACAGGCACACGCCACCATGCCCAGCTAATTTTTTTTTTGTATTTTTAGTAGATACGGGGTTTCACCATG